GATAAATGTGGAAAATGTGTGTTATTGCTATTAAAATGGTAGTTTAGAAGCCTAGCACTTTATCTGATGAACATTAGCAATGGCTCTGGGCAACTGGCCCAAGTGCAAAAACAATGATAAATTGCAATAATAAATTAAGATGATCCCAAGCAGGGGATCCAGAGTGTTGACAATGTGGGTAGTGCTTGAAGCTACAATGAAGTATTCTCTGAGAACTTGGATACAAGATTTCTCTTTGAGAATTGTTGTGGAATATTAGTTTAAGATGTGTTACATTCATTTATGTTGTGGAATATTTGTTTAATGATGTAAAGATGTGTTGCATTCTTTTATGCTTGCATTTGTTTAACTCTGTGAAGCTATGTTACTTTGCCTGCTGAAAACACCGGATTGGTCCAATAAAGGGCTGAACGGCCAACAGCTAGGCAGGAGAGAGGATAGGTGTGGCTGCCAGGCAGAGAGAATAAATAGGAGGAGAATAAAGAGGAGGAGAAATCTAGGAAGAAGAGCAAAAGGAGCGAGGATCGAGAAAAGGAGAAGGAGAGGAGGATGCCAGGGCCCAGCCACCCAGCCATACAGCCAGCCATGGAGTAAAAAGGAAAGATATATAGAATAAAGAAAGGTAAAAAGCCCAGAGGCAAAAAACGTAGTTAAAGAGAAATGAGATTAATTTAAGTTGAAAGGCTGGCTAAAAACAAGCCAAGTTAAGGCCCGGCATTCATAAGTAAGAGTAAGTCTCCATGTATTTATTTGGGAGCTGGGTGTCAGACCCCCAGAGAGTTAAAAACAAAAACCTAACTATAGAGAATGAAATCAATGTAGTCTACTTGTATGAATGGGATTAGTCAGCTCAGGGGGCTCAACAGAAACAGGTGAGTCGGCACTGAGGCTTGACTATGACAGCAATGGGGAGGATGGACTATAATCAATAACAATATCCCCTCTCCAAAAGTCAGAGCAGAGACTTGGTCAGAACAACAGGAGACATAAAAATTCTGATCCATATGAGTTATCATTTTTATTATAAATAAATTATTGTTGTAACATATCAAAATTGTATTTATACAGCACAATTTGTATAGCTTTGCCCACCTACTGACAAATTGCATTTTGCTGACCACTAACTTAAGGGTTTTATGCAGGATGTCACGAGGTACAGTCTTTCCCTGACATAGACACCTTCCTTACCATGGAAAACCCCCAGATATTAAAAATATTTAGGGGCTGGAGAGATGGCTCAGCGGTTATTAAGAGCACTGGCTGCTCTTCCAGAGGTCCTGAGTTCAATTCCCAGCAACCACATGGTGGCTCACAACCATCTGTAATGAGATCTGGTGCCCTCTTCTGGCCTGCAGGCATATATGCAGGCAGAACACTGTATACATAATAAATAAATAAATCTTTTTAAAAAAATATTTAGCTGGAAAGAGAAGCCATAAATGAGACCTGACAACTGTTCTTCAAGGGTTTGAAGTTTTTCTCTTAGGAACTGAGGCTGGACCTTAATGGCTGAAAACAGAGACTTAGACAAAAAAATGAGTAAAATGTTTGAGTAGCAAGATTTCTTCTGGGTAAAAGGAGGAATGTGGTATGTCTTAGTTTCTTTTCTTGTTGCTGTGATTAATACTCTGACAAAAGCAACTTAGGGGAGAGAGGGTTTACAATTTGGGTCTACAATTCCAGGCTACTATTTATCATGGCTGAGAAGTTCTGGTGGAAGGAACTTGAGGCAGCTTGGTCTAGTTGTATCCAAAGTTAGGAAGTAGAAAACAATGAATGTTTGTGCTCTGCGAGCTTTCTCCTTTTTAGAAGTCCAGAACCCAAGCCCAGGGAATGGCAACACCCATTATTAGGGTGGGTCTTTCCCACGTCAATTAATATAATCAAGGCAATTCCTCACAGACATGCTCAAAGATAAACCCAATCTAAATGATTCACATGTGTGCTTGGAGATTTGTCTTCTAGATGATTTCAGATCCTGTCAAGATGATAATCAACACTAGTCATCACACACAGTAACTTTTAACTTCCAACAGTTGTTGGAAGAGCTGTGTCTTTGTCAAGATTCTCTTTTTTTTTTTTTTCCCCTTCAAGACAGGGTTTCTCTGTGTAGCCCTGGCTATCCTGGAACTCACTCTGTAGACCAGGCTGGCCTCAAACTCAGAGATCCACCTGCCTCTGCACCTGACCCCACCCGCCCAGTGCTGGGATCAAAGGCATGGGCCACTACCACCCAGCAAGATTCTTGAATCATAAGCAACAGTAGAAGTCCAGAGAAGCATAAAATGATGATGACGGTGCTGGTGCTGGTGGTGGTAATAGATGGTGCACAGGCTTGAAGGCAGCGCTGAAGTACCTGATCTCAGCAGAAAGAGTGGGCAACACAGACACAGTTTTAGAGAACACAGAAAGGGAGTACTATCTCTTCCAGCTACTAGCATGATAAATCACTCTCTGCTGATTTCTTTCTCAGAATTCCAGGGAAACTAAATTCTACTTGTTAATCTTAGATGGAGGATTTTGCTCTCCATTCTTCTGTTAGTAGCAGAGTTGGAGCAATCCACAGTAGGAGCCTTGCTCAAGGCCCCATCAAAGTACCTTGTGATACAGAGTCAATAGTTAACAAAGAGAAATTTAAGAGGGAGGTGTGGGAGCCCGTTCTCGGGTTCCTCGTGGCTTTACCCAGCAGGTCCTCATAGAGGATGATTAGGACCACGGGCCTGAGTGCAGGTGTCTGAGATGGTCTGCACTTGGTTGTGCTGGGGGAGGAGGTCTTTTGCTCCACCCCTTGGCGTCTCTATAAAAACCCAGGGGCAGAGACAGTCGGGGCCATTGGAAAAGGTTCCAGGCCCTCTCGAGGCTATCTTTTATTTTCTATCTGTTTATCTCCGCAAGATTCTCCGCAATAAATCCTTCTATCTAATATTTCCTGCTGCTCGCACTCAAGAAAACTCTGGGGAACTGTGGGGGTGGTGGGTAAACGCCCCACAGGGAGGAAAACAATAAAACAACTTTCCCAGCCTCATGATACAGCAAGCAGAAGAGGCCATTTGTCAGGGGTCCCGAGGAAAAGATCGGTGCTGGAGAGAGGTTGGAAAAGGCAATTCAAAAGGAAACTGCTAGCTCTGTTCGTAAAGAAGAACTGAGAATAAGAATTAATTACTATGATCCAGGGTCATCAGGAAAGAGCCAGACTACAAGGGAGACCTGGGCCACATCCTAAGGAATAGAATTAACATAACTAATAGGCAGGTCAGCCAGGTCGGCACAGCGGACCAATCAGAGAAGAAAAAGGAGGAGTGGCTGGCTCCCACTGCTCCCTGGGGCTAGCTGGAGGAAGAGCAGAGAGACCACAGATAGCGAAGAAGTCAGAAACTGTTGGCTAGGTGAGGTGCTGGTTAGAGGACTTAGTCCCAACCGCCCTCCTAACGGCGTGTTTGACTTAAACGGCACCTTCACTGAACCAGTGGGGGACACGTAACAGGCCCAGTCCTAAAGTTCTGACATCTGTGAGGCAGGTTGAAAGAAACAAAAGAAAGCACAGGCCACTAGTGACCTCTGGTGGAAACAGCACAGGCTTTCGGGAACTTAACCTGAGTAGGTTTGTTTTTCCAAGGAAGATGAATAGCAATGATTCAGGCGGTTTACTTCTAGAGGGGTGAAGGAGGGAGCTGCTGGAAACAGCACAGGAATACTACCCAGAGAGTGAAAATGCACAAGCAATGCTCCATGTTTTGAGTCAGAATACGTTGATTAATGGTCTGGCAAAAAATTGGAACAAGTAAATTGCTGTCAAAGAAGGATGTTAGGGCAATGACCTTGTTGGCCAGTGGGGGAGTTGGTGCATTAAGAGTGAAGAGCAGGGTGCTGGAGAGATGGCTCAGTGGTTAAGAGCACTTGACTGCTCTTCCGGAGGTCCTGAGTTCAATTCCCAGCAACCACATGGTGGCTCACAACCATCTGTAACGGGATCTGATCCTTCTTCTGGTGTGCATGAAGACAGAGCATTCATACATGAAATACATGACTGAATCTTTTAAAAAGAGAGAGAGTGAGGAGCAAGTGAACATGACGACAGGCATGTGGAGAAAGCCTCGGCGCTTGCCGGAGCTCCTTTTTATAAGTCTTACAATCTGAACACATGTCAGTGTCTCAAGTCCCACAACTTGCCCCTCCCAATGGGTGTCTGTGCTAAGTGTGGGCAAACACTATTGAGTCGTGAGGATGTGGATGTGACAGGTGCTTAGTGCTTGAGGTCTTTGAAGCGGGACTAATCCGCAGGAAGGTCCAAGCCCAACCAGGAAGGTCAACCAGTGTTAAACCACACTGGATGCTGCACATGTCTCTGCTTTGGGATGTGTTTTCAGACTATATAATTTTAACACAGAGACAAAACAAAGGAAGGGGAAGATCGATTGGGATCTTAAAGGTTTGTGCTCATATTTGGGACTAATCACGGAGTTGAATTAACTGGAGACTGGCGGGTAGCACATGAAGCAAAGGAAAGGTTTTTACAGAGAGCGAGGCAATGCATAAGTAAACAGAATCAGCATCATCAAGCCCTGGGCAACTGTCATTTCTGGCAGGCGCGCTCTGGCAGTCCGTGTCTCATATTACCAGTGTGCCAGAGGCGTCACCTGCCGCCCTTCATTATTCAGCCGCCACACACCCTGCCTGCCTTGTTTGCTGATGTAGTTGTGCAGCTTGGCAGGTCTGCTTTTCTTAAAGTTGTTACACCCCTCTTCTCTATGACATTTCAAGGATGTAAAAATAGTCCCCAAAGAATCCATTTGTGAGATTTCCAACATTCAGGTTTCCGTGAGGGGGCGAAAGCTGGCCTAAGATAATGGCTTGTTCAGTTTTATTTTTCTAAGATACCAATTAAACCCCACATTACAGACATCACTGGCCTTTCCTCGTTCCCTTTGCTGGGAGGTATATAATCTTGGGCTCCGCGACTGGCTACTTTAGAGGTCTAGTCTAAAAACCAGTTTACTTACCAAAGATGAGCTAATGACTTTAATCTGTTCCAAAGCTTCTGTCAGGCTGTCCTCAATCTCAGCGTCATCTAAAGAGAAGAGGTCCCCAGCTCTTGAGAGATCTTTTTGTCCCAAAACCAATCTGAAAAGTTGATGCATGGTGAGTTGGATCAGTTGGCTTTCTGAGGACCCAGGGCCATGCTCAGCTCTCCACCGTCAGAGAGAGAAAACCATGCAGCCATAGGTACACTTCATATTCCACAAAGGGCCATTGTTCTTCAGACTTTGGGGTCTCCTCTGGCAGTCTCTGTAACAGAAACAAATGACACAGTGTGGACAGTGGCAGCCTGGCAGATGGCATGAGCTCAGAATGTGACCTTGATAGCAGGGGCAGGGAGGAGAGGGCAAAGGAGAGGGAGAGAGAGAGAAAGTGGGGAGGAGAACTGGAAAGCCATACATAGAGTAATTAACTCTTGTTTGGTGGTATCTGAATGAGCCCTTTCTTATTTTTTTTTTTTTTTGTTAATCTCAGAAAATTTTTTCTTTCAGAAAATATCAGATTTCTCCAGAATTAAATTTGAAGCTTTGAAAGAGCAACACAAGACTCACACACTTTTTTTCCTGAACTGTCTTTTCTACACCCCCGCCCCGCTTTTCTCCGTGAGGCAGGTAAAGAAGAGAAAGAGCAGGGAATAAGTCCAGTGCTTGCTGGATCCCCTGCAAGCAGAGCCCATGGGAATTCAGTGCAGTGGAGGCTGAAGGAAATAGAGAGCATAGGAAGCATCTTTTAGAGCCATTGTGCAGGGCGGGCTCATCCTACCAGAACCTGACAGAGAGACTAGTTTACTCTCTTGGCTGCACGTCCCAGCTATATGGCAACAGAAATCCTTCCTTCCTTCAGTCTACAATTATCTCCTCACTTCAATCCTGTGCACTCTAATCAAATAGCCATGAGATAAAGGGCTTCATCTCGGTATGTGGGTTCGGGAGATCTCTCCTGAAATTGAACTTGAGTGCTGACGTAGAACATGATAGTATTGCAGGGCAGGCTAAACAGGAAGGCCTTTGGGATCAGGTATCTTCCCTGCATTACTCAGGTGGAATAAGACAATTTCACTTCACTTCTCCACTATGTAACAGAGTTCACAGAGAATAGAGCAGGGTGACAAGTTGGATACCTGGTTATTCTCTTCAGTTCCCTTCTGGAGCTAATGGAATTATAGATTATTTGCATTAGTAGAGACTTTAGCAGTCATTTGGTGGCCAGGGATGTTTGATGACTTCCTCAAGGTCCCTTAGTAGCTGTTGTAGGGCTAATATCCTGCTTTGGAGTGAGCAGACTTTCCACCACAGTGTACAGTGAAGTGGAAACTCTTCCTTCATGAAAGCAATTGGTAAGTGTAGCCGTTTTCTCAGAGAATAGGAGCCAAGAGTGAGGTACTTAAGAGCAGTAGATGACTCTGACCATCATTTCAGCGTGAATGAGTTCCCCAGAACAAGAGGGAGAAGAAAGAGGACTTTGTGGTCCCTTGGATACTCTCAGATCTCCCCTGGGAGGTACTGCTGTGGGAGCACCTCTCTATGCTGTATGCAGTCTTAAAGTTCAAGATGCTTATCCTCTGTTTACTGTGGTATCTAGACACAAGCCAAATCTTCCGTGGAATATTCAAGCCAATCTATCTGCAGTATTTCAATTATTCATGGGCCCTTTTTAGAGATTTCAAGGGCATTCTTATCTGTTGATGTACAATTTTTATACTATCTTCCAGCGTTAGAAAAATAAGGTTCACTCTGGCCAGGGAAACAGGTAGGCTAACACATCAGATCTTCACCTCTCCATCAGCTACTCCAAATCCAATCCCCCAGTCTCAGTCTCATGCCTAGCTCTACAGCAGACCACCTACCTGCCAACCCCACTCCCCACCCCTGCCACGAGCCTTCATCTCCAATAGACTACACAGATGTTCCCCTCCTAACCTCCCCCCACCAACTCTTTGCTTTTTCCCACCCCCAGCTACTCCAGCCAGGGAAGCAGGTAGGCTAGCTGTAGATCTGCACCTCTCCTTCTGTTTCTTCAAATCCAGTCCCCCAGCCTTGTCCCCAGCCCTGCCACAGAACATCTGCTTCAGCTTCCTTTCCCCCTGTACCCTCATCTCCGGTAAATCCCATAGATCTTCCTCTCCTAACCTCCCTCCCCAAACTGTTTGCTTTGTCCCAACCCCCAACCCCAGCAGGACCCTGGGAAGCCACAGGACACTTTGACTAGGCAAGTAAGCAGGCTAACTGCAGATCCTCATCTTTCCCTCCATTTCTCCAAGTCCAATCCCTCAGTCTCACACCCAGCTCAATAGTAGATCTTCTGCTGTGACCTTTCCTCACTGTCTGGCCCCATTCCCAGGAGACAAACTAAACAGATCCTGGTGGAGTTCTCTGGTTTCTTCCCTCCTGTGAACCCCCTCAAACCCACCCCAACCCATTCCCATTCTGCAGTGTCAGCTCCCAATACTCAGAAACACGTTACCTAGAACCCCCAGTATAATTTCCTACCAGGCAATACACAGCCACTATACTCTCCTAAGCACCAGAAAGGGTAACAAAAACTAAGGAACAAAACACCCACCCAACAAAGACAAGACCAGATATCAATACCTAGAAATTACAATCTTCCCAATCCATGATGTCCAGACTCTAGTGTAAAAACATAATCAATAACAGTCAGGACAACATGTCTCCACTAGAGCCCAGCAACCCTGTCAGAGCAGGTTCTGAGTATCCAACATAGCTGAAACACAGGAAAAATACCTTAAAACAGGCTTTATGAATATTATAGAGATATTTAAAGAGAAAATGAATAGGTCCCTTAAAGAAATATATGAAAACACAAACATTTGAAAGAAAATGAATAAAACAACTCAAGACCTGAAAGTGAAACTGAATCAATAAAGAAAACCCAAACTGAGGGAAATCTGGAAATGAAAAACTTAGGAACTCAAACAGAAACCACAGAGGCAAGCTTTACCAGCAGAATACAAGAGATGTAGAAGAGAGAATATTAGGCATTGACGACATAATAGAATAAATGGATACCTTGGCCAAAGAAAATGTTAAATCTAAAAATCTCCTGGCACAAAACATCCATGAAATCCGGGACACTATGAAAAGACCAAATCTAAGAATAACAGGACTAGAAGAAGGAAAAGAAACCCAGGGCAAAGGCACAGAAAATATATCCAGCAAAACCATGGAAAAATATTTCCCTAACTTAAAGAGGGAGAGGCCTATCAACATACAAGAAGTTTACAGAACACCAAATAGACTGGACCAGGAAAGGTAATCCAAACACTAAACATACAGAAAAAAAGAAAGAATATTAATAGCATCAAGAGAAAAAGACCAAGTAACATTATGATGACATTTTGTTGTCAACTTGACTAAACCTATAATTAACTAACCCCCCCAAAATGACTGGGCACACATGTGAGGGTTTTTTGCTTAATTAAATCATTTGAATCCACTTCTAATCTGAATCTTTGAGGTGGGAAGACATATCTTTAACCCAGATATTTTGAGGTGGGAAGATTCACCTCTAATCTGCTGGAAGCCGATATAAAGACATGGAAGAAGGAAGCCTTGCTCTTAGCCCGCTTGCTCTTGCTCTCACTAGCAAGTCCGTTCTGTCACTGGCACTACAGCTCACTTCTCTGGGATTCAAGATACTGAAGACCAGCTTATATACTCTGAAGACATCCATTGGGCTGAACAACTACTGGATTCTTGGACTTCGTGTTCATAGAAGTCATTACTGTATTAGCGGGACCACAGCCTGTAAGTCATTCTAACAAATCCTATATCCATCCATCCATCCATCCATCCATCCATCCATCCATCCATCTATCTATCTATCTATCTATCTATCTATCTATCTATCTATCTATCTACATAGATATAGATGTGTGTGTGTGTGTGTGTGCGTGTGTGTGTGTGTGTATGTGTGTGTGTGTGTGTGTGTGTGTGTGTGTGTGTGTGTGTGTGTATGCATGTATGGTATGTATAAATTCATTCTACAAGGTAAGGTCTGTTTACTGTGGGGAACCCTGACTAATACAAACACCTATACCCCAAACACAAGGACACCAAAGTTTGTAAAAAAAAGAACAAAAAAACAAAAAACCCGTAGTATAGCTTAAATCATTTATTGACCCTTACATATTGACAGTGGGAGACTTCAATACTCCACTCTTGCCAACAGACAGGTCATCCAGACAAGAACTAAGCACTAAACTGCTAGAGCTAACTGATGTTATAAACGAAATGGACCTAACAGACATTTACAGAACATTTCATTCAAACACAAAAGAATATATCTTCTTCTCAGCACCTCATGGAACTTTCTCCAAAACTGACCACATACTCAGATACAAACCAAGTCTCAACAAATACAAGAAAACTGGAATACCTCCCTGCATCCTATCAGACTATGAAGGACCAAAGCTAGATTTCAACAGCAGAAACAACAGAAAACTTACAAGCTCATGGAAACTGAACAACTCTCTACTGAGTGAAAAATGGGCCAAGACAGAAATTAAAAAAAGAAATCAAAGACTCTCTAGAATTGAATGAAAATGAATACAGACCATACCCCAACTTATGGGACACAATGAAAGTTGGGCTAAAAGGAAAGATCACAGCACTAAACGCCTACATTAAAAAAAAAAATTGGAAAGATTTCATTCTAGCAACTGAACAGCATACCTGAAAGCTCTAGAAAAAAAATCATATCTAAGAGGACTAGATGGAAAGAAATAATTAAACTCAGGGCTGAAATTAATAAAACAGACACAAAAACAGCAACAAAACACCACAAAGAATCAATGAAATAAAGAGTTGGTTCTTGAGAAAAATCAGTAAGAATGACAAATCCTTATCCAAATTAACTATAATACAGAGAAACAATACCCAAACTAACAAAACCAGAAACAAAAAGGGGCCCATAACAACAGACATTGAGGAAATCCAGGGAATCATAAGGACATACTTTAAAAAAACTATACTCTACCAAACTGGAAAATCTAAAACAAATGGATAATTTTTTTCAATACATACCACTCACCAAAGCTAAATCAAGATCAGATAAGCAAATTTAAACAGACCTACAACCCCTAGTGAATTAAAAGCAATCATTAAAAGTCTCCCAACCAAAACAAAACAAAAGAGCCCACAGGTTTTAGTGCAGAATTCTACCAGTGTTTCAAAGAAGAGTTAATGCCAATACTCCTCAATTCATTTCACAAAATAAAAACAGAAGGA